AAAATGAATTGTGCAACAAACCAAGTGGCACCTAAGTAAATCCATCATATAAACAAGCAGAGAGGATTTTCACTGCTTCCAGAAAGAGTTTGGACTCCTGGTGTGAGCTAATTTCTGTGTGAGTGACCACAAAATAAAGCTCTTAGGTAATACAGTGATAGGTACTCAAAAATATGATAGATGGAGAAACAAGATTAGCTCTACTTTATGTACAAGTCCATTACATTCTTGATCACATACTTTAATGGCAAAGCAGCTGCAGAACTTGCAAATTACAAGCTCTGACTTTTTTTTTTTTTTTCAGAGCTGCTGCATAAATAGTTGTATTTAACAACTCCAGGCAGGTCCTTCTTTCTGTAAATTTTCCTAAGAATGTGCTGTGAGTTTGCAGCAAGGAATTGTTCCCCAAAATTAAGTATCATCTAAACCGAAGTGCATTATCCCTCCATTTCCCTATTTGTGTTTTCCCCATGGTTTCTTGTAGCAGTTATTGTGCTGGGGTTGGAGATCACTGTGCCCAGGGCTGTTGAATGAGGTCCTCAGTGCTCATCTGCTTTTTGTCTGGAAGAGGGAAGAGCCCTTCACAGATTCAATCTATCTATTACCTTTCCTGCCTTTGTTAAACTGTTTTTACTGCACACTAGATAAAGCCTGGCTGGCTACTGCCCAGGAAAATTAGGTGTTCTGTTGTTTTACCATTAATTATAGAGAGTTCAAGATAAGGTTTGTGTTAGAAAGGTAGGGGGCAGGAATGGTCTGAATTTTACTTTCATTATAATTAGACAGGAAATTATGAAAAGGTGAAAAATAATTCATTGAAGAGCTTTCCCCTAGCAAGGTAAAAAGAAAAATGCATTCTGGCACAGAAGGAGTTCATGGGATATTATCAAACACTGTGGCTCTCAGTGTTTGGCTCTGCCTGGGCACAGCGAGCCTGTTTCTGTTGCACTTCATGTGTGGGCAGAAATGGGCAGGATGAGGCCCTGTGACTCCCTTCTGTTCAACTGAGGGCCCTTTCTGCTACCAAAAAACAAATCAGGCTAAATTAGTCCACGGTGTAACTCCATGGAAGCCGTTTGAGTGACTGCAGACATTAATTGGAACGATCAGTCACTTTCTGAGTAACTTGCAAAGGACATGAAAATATGAGTAATCTAAGAATGAATTAATTGGACAGCTGTCTCACTTTCATTTGAACACTACTGAGATAAACATTTGGACTAAGAAGTTGTCCTCATTAGAACTTCTTCGCTTGATGTTGATGATGATGTTTACGACTACCATGGAACTACGATGTTTTCAGAATTTTTTCTGCATGTGAAATTACTACAGTTCAGGCTTTTAAAGGCACTTTTACAGGGAGGAAAAAAGAGTGCATCAATCTTACTTGGAGCTTCTAACTATAGACTAACCATGCCAAAGCCCCTCAGGTTAGAACTCCTTCTGTAATAAACCTTTGGAAGTCGACATCAGTCAAGTTTTCCACCACTTCTTTCTTTTCAGGTTTCCAACCCAGTTTTTTTGTTTATGGTTTGCAGGAAAAGCAGGACACTGGGAGAGAAGTCATTCCAGTGAGTCTGAGGCAGAAGACCACTGAAGTTAATGAGACTCTAACGGAGATAAGGTTTTTGTCCATTCAGAGTCAATAGAAGCTTCAGAAATGGTATAATGCAGGCGGAAGCTGGGAAAAGGATGTATTTCTCTGCCTTGTTAGAAGATAAGGAAGCGAGATTCCAAGGGGAATGAGTGATTTACCCATAGTCACACAGCAAATCAGCAAGAGATATGGAAATTAATGCTGAGAAGCATTTCAGTGCCTTAATCATAAAGCCAATCTTTTCCCTCAAATGCCAACACCATTAAATTTCAGTAATGGAATAAGCATAAGAGTTTCATCGACTTACAGTGATCTTTCCATCAAAATATTTCAGTGGGAAGCTGGTTCCAGTGGAATGGTTGGTCAGTATTACGACCTATGTCCAGATGCAGGGATCAGCAGTTGTAGGGACCAGGAATTGTAGATGAACTTAAGCAAATTCACCTGAGAGATTACTTTGAGGATCACATCACGCTAAGGGTGGAAAATGCGAGGTCAAAAAGAACTCCGTGTGTTTTATTATATTTACCACTAATTAGGTGGGTTTTGAAAAAAGTGAACTGAAATATTGTGTTGTTGGGAAGCTAATAAACTGTTAGGCTGAGGGAATATATGGCTCAGAATAGGAAAGATTCACATCTCTTGCCTACAAATAAATCACTTGTACATCACATATCTCTTTGACCATCTCTGAGCAGTATCAGTGTGGTACCAAGGTAGCTGCTAAGAGAAGCACGTGTTGTATAAATCCCTAATAGCCTGGGCCAAAGTCTGTTTTTATTTAAACTAGCTTCAATTCATTTTGTCTTAATTGAAAATAATGATGTTAGAGCAGTGATCAAAGAATTGTCTCATTAATTGTCTATTAAATCATTAGCTATTAAACAGGAATAAAAGGTTAAGAATGCAACGCTCTATTCTGCCCAAAAGAATACGAATATCTCTCCAATTACAAAGAAACAATAAAAGCAGAATTAACAGTGAAAAGAAGCTTAAGATTAGGCAATTAGATCCAAAATGCCTGACAACTCTGATTAGAGGGTGTAGCAGTACAACCTATATAGAAAAGTTAACACAAATTCAGAAGCAAAGTCAATATTGACTTTACCAAAGGGGCTTGTAAAAGGAATATGCATTTTTCTGAAAAAAAATACAGGCACATAAACCCTGTACTAAATTTTAACTCAGCTAATTAATTGTTATGGATTCAATCTTGCAACCAATACATATATTTGCAGTTAAAAAATTATGCCTGAACAGCATTCAGAACTGAGAGCACCTCTCAGTAATTTGTGACTGAAATCCATTAAAAGTATGCTGCAATTTTCAGAAAAATAACATTACTCCCATTTTATATCACCAGGATGAGGCAATATCTAGTCAATGAAGACCACATTCAGACCTCTTGTTGTTGTTCATTAAGTCAAAATATCAGAGAGACAGGTACCAGGTGGGGAAAAGGGTCCCAGAGACATTCTCTGCTGTCAGGGATTTGATGCCCAAATAATTTCACAAAGCAGTCAAATAAAGACCTGATTTATAGCAACTGAGTCACTACCAAAAAAAACCTGGCAAATTATAGTGCAAATCTTATGAAACCTGTGCTGAATCTTGGCCTGTGTTTTGGTCTGCTCTCTCCAGGCATGGGAAGACACTCATCAGCCCCAGAGTGCTTTGGAGCAGATCTAATTCCACAGAGATGGACAACGGTTTGAAAAAGAGAAAAAGAAAGGTGGTTAAAGGACAAGAGCTTTGCTGTATTGAGGTGTATAAATCCACAAGTGCAACTGGAAAGCTTGTCTCTGCTCACAGAGGTTACGTCAAGACTTATTTAGTCACCAGCTGTAGTGGACCTGTTAAATTTGGGAACCAGAACAACTTTTTATGTCCAGCCTTGACAGGATACCCATGAGGACAACTGCTGATTGAACAAAATGGGCTTTAAAGAGGCAGTGCTCTGAAATGCAGCTCCTCTCCACAGTCTGCAGAGACTAATTCTAAGAGGAATGGGAATCTTTTTCCTGACCTTTTCCTATCTGGTTCAGTCCATTATTCTCTAACTACATCAAGTCCTAGAAATACTAGAAACTCAATTAATAGAAACAAAAGTCCCCATACACCATTTTTTAGGTCTGGATCTGTTTTTCTGAAGTGCAAAGAGAAGATGGTCTCAGCAATATGTTGATGATATGTAACTTGTTGCTTGAGTTTATAAAATGAACAAGTCATTGTTCAGATTTATCAACTGATAAAAAATAGCCACTAATCAGATAATAGATATGTGCTACCCAGCAAAAAAAAACAAAAACAAAAACAAAAAAAACCCCAACATTTATCAAGTCAGTTTGTTTATTTGACAACTAATTATGTTAGACATAAAGAAAGATATTCCATGTTCCTCTGGTAAAGATCTTCAAAGAAATTTGATTTCCAAAAAAAAGAAAATGGGATTTTTTTTTTCCTATCTGATATAGAAGGGAAAATACAGAACTCACAAACAACACCAAAAAAAGCACCATGCCGTACAGAACTCACTGTAGTCAATTCTTAGGTTCATTTAAAACGAGAACACTCCCAAACCACATAATAAAACAAGTTAACCTTTAAAAGATATTCAGAAGTACCTCTTTTATGCCTAGAAATAATAATGAGCTAAAAGCTGAAAGCTATGCAATGGTGTCAGAAGTCAGGCAGTCAGTGTCTTCATAAAGTCCATTAATGCTATTTTCATCTCAGTGTCAGGGAGGCAGAACTAGTTGAAAATAACATTTACAAAAACGCAAACAAACAAACAACAACATTGTTTAAAAGCTCCCAGCTCTCCTTTTAAGAACTTTTGCAAAGTGGTTGTTATTTTCTATTCTCTGTCATGCTTCTCCAGATTTTGGTACCGTTCAGTATCTTTAATTATAAGAAACTCCTGACTGGAAACAGGTGGTACAACCAGAAGAATGGAGAAATCACCCTGTATGCTGTTACAAAATGCTCCATTATTGATGGGAAATAATGGATTCAGCAAATCCACACAAGAACAAAGACCCCCTTTGGAAAGAGTTGATCTTTCCTAAATGCAATATATCAGCAACACGCTCTTTCTCATCAGCACTGGGTGGCCAGCAAAGAAAGACTGGGACAGCTCTTTTAGTATCCCTGGCCCTTTCTTCCCCATGGAACAGACCAGCTCAAACGACTCTGCATCAGTCTGTTGAAATGTGCTAACCCTGCGTAACCTCTGGAGATCCCCTCTCAATGCGCAGTGGATTCCATCCTACACCACAGAAATAGCTGTCCCTGTATAATAACTGCTTGATGGAAAATCCCAAATGTGGGCCAGGTCCCAGTATGGTGGTGGTGGAAGAAAAAAGGGTGAGAACTCCGTCCTCCACCTCTGGTGGTGCCTTACCTTTATGACATCTTCATCTGCTGATTTGCACTCGATGGAGTCTGAGACGTCCACCACGGACCCATCCTCCTGAACTGCAACAACCTTGACTGGAACTGACACCATTTTGCCCGTCAGAATGGCCGTGTTAAGGACCTCTGTGTCCTGCATGCACAGACAAAGGGAGGATGAGGGTTAGAGAGGCGCAAAACCACGAGAATGAACCAACCCTGCCTCTGATGGGGATGGGCGCAGAGGTGGGACCGTCCCTTGCACACACTCCTTGAGCTCTCTGCAGTCAGTGGTTTAGCAAATTTCTAAGCTAAAAGTGGCATCTGGACAGTTAAGTTTGGGTTTTGACAAACATGGATTTCCTCTTTTTGAGCTCATTTACAGGTTTGGCTGCTGTGGCAATGAAATCTGTGATGCAATGAGGCACATAGGCCTGTCTGCAGCTCGGGAGAACCACGGCACGACTCAGGCAGGATCTCCAGGGTGTCAGCGACTCCTCCCACCCCTCTGCCCCAAATCATACCAATGATTTGGGAGGTGATAATCAAGCATTACAATAACAGCATTTCTTCCTCACTGTTCCAGCTAACAGCGTTGTGAGTTGACCGTTTTCCTTTTTTGAAACATAAAATACACGAGGAGAAAAACTATGCATCCATACCTAGGGTGTTTTTTCTAATCTGTCCCCATCAAAATCCCACCTAGAGATGTTTCACCACATTTATCTCTAGTCCTGATGAATTCACAGTGCTGGCACTCTAATGACTCCATTAACACAGCCTTCCTCCGTGTCTCAGTATGGCTGCAGTTTGATTAATTACTCCAAATGAATTGCTCCAGAGGTCCCTGCCTCGTGTAAGCAGGTATGCAGACTGGAGGGGAGCAGCTAGTCTCTGCCTAAGCAGCGCTTACTGCCAGCCCCAAAACTTGACACACATGCAGGGGCAAGGAATGATCTGGGATTTCACAGAGATTCATTCCGGCCATCTCGAAAAATCCTGCAATAGGAAATACTGCTTTGAATCAATCCGCTTTTCATTTTTCAACTTCCATAAAACTAATTGCTTGCCAGCTGGGGGAGAGGGGGAGAAAAAAAAAAAAAGTTGCTTCAAACTAATCTAACTTTAAATTCCATTATTAGAATTGGTGGAAGAAGAAATGGATTTTAGTGAAAAATTTGATGGCAGCTTGCATAGGGAGATATATTCACTATCATTTGCTCTGCTGCTAGATTGATGGAGAATAATGGGCATTGACCACAAGCTAAGGACAGCTGGAGAAGACCAATAAATACTTGCAACTAAGATGTATTATTAATCAATATTCGGAAACTTCTACAAAAAGCGCCCTGAATTAAATGAGCTGAAGGACCAATAACACAAGTGCCAGCTAACTAATAGAGTCTACCAGAGGTTTATGGGCAGCCATGTTCCAGAAAAGCATTGAAGCACACACTCGAGTCCATTTCTGAGCAGAACAGTGCTAAGAGGACGTGCTCCACTTGACACTTAGACTTCAATGCGATTTAAGAGTCATCCTGAAAAAAAGATGCTTTTCTGAATAATACCTCGTGAAATAAATGCACCCTCTTTGTTCTGTTCTCTGCGAGGCACAAGCCAGATGTTCCCCACAGTAAATGGCTGCCTAGTTTTTGTTTATGCTGAATGGGCTCATTTATAACCAGCTGCCATCCATGAGAGAGGGACACTGGGAAAGAGAGAAGTATGTGACAGAAGTGGAAGTGTGAAAGAACAACTGTAAAACCTTTATGAAGACAGATCTGAACAAGGCTGAGGAGAATTTGCATTGCCAGGTGAAAGAAAATACTTAGGTGCACCTCAGGTGGAAAAAGGTTGTATAAGCAGACAAAGAGAAACTGAGGGTAATTCATCCATGAGCAAATCAGAGAAGAGACAGCCAGATTTCACCAAATCAACTGCAAATATCCCATATATCCTAAGCCATCAATCCAATATAAACATATGCCAGATATTTGATGAAGACCTGGTGGTCCTGTGTCAAAAGGGTCTCAAGGACCAGTTTGGCAGTATGTTATTTCTAAGCCATTCTCCCACAACAGACAGTCTTTTTTCAGTGCATCTGGGGAAATAAACAAGGTCACAAACAATGAACACATGACTAATTCCACTTCCAAACACACTCTGTTAGCAGAGCAGCTCCTCCAGGTCAAACAGGTAGCACTTGTATGCAATTATAGTCTGGTCCAAAGCCCTACCAAGTCATAGATTAAAGGCTTCTTTGGACTTCTTTGGACTTATTACCAGGTTCTCAACAGGCCTGAACCAATTTCTCCTTTGGTTTTTGTGCTGTTCGCTCTATCACCCACATGTTGACCAGCATGTGTGACAAAGGATAAAAAACCTCTGCCTCCTTTGAACTCTAAGTGCTGTTTAGCTACCGAAGCTGAAGTCTGACTTTGATGTGCTGAAGGATAATGCAAAGTTTATAAAGACATTTGCATTCCTTTCATAAGCCCCTGTGAAGATGAGCATGAGACAAGTACAAGCACAAAAACTGTCCTGAACCTTCTCTGCTTCCCAGTGCATACAGTAACCCACCGTGCTAATTAGCTGGTGCTGCCTCACAAACACTGCACTTCACTGTAAGCAATTCCACTATAAAAATCAATATTTCAGATGCCTGATGCCTGGAGTGAGTGTTACACAAATATAATAGGCTGTAAAGATCTTTTTAAGAGCTGGCTATTTATAGACTGAAAAAAAAATTTCCTCTGAGGAAGAAATATGAACTAATTGACTGTCCATTAGATTTATAAACAGACTTTTTAGTGCATCTCCAACAAGTAATGGCATTTCATCTAAATTCTGTTAGGCTTGGTCTGTATTTCCATGGTAGAGTTTACTGCAGGAAAAAAAAAGAGTTACTGAACTTTAGATACCTGTGCTGGTTATTACTAACAGCACCTCAAATGTAGGGAGGGGATTTACATAGATTTGTCCTCCCACCTGGCACAGCATAAGTGAAACATCAGGAACAACAACCAGGCACCACCAGCACAAACCTCCAACTGGGGACACTTCAAAGCCCTGAGTGGAAAACTGGGAATCCTTCCCCATTTCTATTGTTGAAGGTTTCAGCTGCCAGATCTTGACCAAAACCTTCAACTCAGCAGCCTGGGTGGAAGCTACACGTTCATATCACAGGCTCTATCCGTGAATAATAATAATGTGCATGTTTATCTCCAGCTCTTTCTTGGTACCTGAATGCATTAGCACTTCAGCAGAGCTCTTCTTAATTACAACTGTAACCTGCTAATAGCATTTCTTTGTTGTCTGAAGGAATCTACTTCTTATGCAGGCTAGGCTAAATTAAAATTTAATACAACATCAGGTCGCAACAGAACTAGGAAGCAAATGACAGCTGTTTAATTAAAACCTAAAGCTGATTAGATGGCACTACTGAGAGAAATACTCAAGAGGAAGAGCTGAAAACTACTGAAACTCTAGGCCAGGATAATGGCTTTATTTAAATATGAATAAAGGCTGCACACAGTCACAGTAAATGTTTGACAACTGCTTGCTTCGGACAAATGGGGGGGGAAACGTGAATGGGAGATGTGTCAAAATTCTTGATAGAGCTGTGACTGCAAACACTGCTGTTACCTGTGGATGTAACCAGAGGCACGGATTACTGAGGAATTACTCCAATAGGCACGTACAAATCAACTGAGGAACTCCAGGCATAAAGTTCCCAATAATTACGCTTTAAACAAACATCCTGGTGACCTAAATCCTCTTTAGGCAGGTGACTCTACACTCACCCACCTCCCGTAAGCCAACATGATACAGCTTTTTCCCCCTCTTCTGGCTGAAAAAGAAAGGCATGGACAAATAGACTACACATCTCACAAGAAAGCATCTCAAGAGCCAGGAGCTGGACACAGGTTACCTAGAGCCCAGCCCAAAGCCACCAGTGCATGATCCCTGCCCCTCTGGGAGCAGCCAGCATCCTTCCCACAAAGTCTGGCGAGGCACAGAGGTCCCACACCAGCCCAGTTTGCTGTGACAGTTTGCTGTATCATCCCTGTGATTAATGCACGAGCTGGTCGTGGTTTTTTAGAGGTTAACAAAACCTGCTACAGTGCAGTAAACCCAATAAACACTCAATTCTGAAACAGGAGGGAAACCTAAAGCCAATCCTATTCCACTGACAAATGCTACAGCTAAATGCCTTTTGGCATTTAGCTGAAATGACTGTCTTTAGAGAAGAAGGCAGAGAGCTGGAGCATTTGTCTGTAGAATTGCATTCCTTCATTATTATTTCTTTCCCCAGAGTGTACCTCACGAAAATACATTTGTAATATTAGAAGGAAACTTTAGGAACCAGTTCTTCTGCCTGGAAACGGCATCTCTTAAAAAAATGTGAATTAGGGGGCAGACTGTGACGTGTGGGCTGGGCTAGGGGAGGCTTTTTTATTTGATAAATTATTCACCACCTTTTTCTCTAGATCAAAGAGCAAGGCAATATAAATCCATTAAGCAAGCTTAATATATAAATTAGATGCTTCGCTGAAATTATTGGAACCCAAAGCAATTCTGTACTTTCCCCACCTCATGGCTGAATACCATATTAGGTTTCCCATACATATTAATGAAGAACGGGCATGAGAAAGCTATCTATATTTTCCATTATAGCAGGTAAGAGATACCATTTTGTCACCCAGTGGTGAGAACAAACAACTGAGATTATGTGTTTACAAAACATTAGAAAACATAAACAAACTTGCAAAGAGCTGATGCTGTTCTTTGACCCTTTTTCCTTCCTCTTTTCTTTTTCTTCCTCTCTCCTAATAGAGAGCTACTTCACTGCATCATCATTTCAGAGGAGCCACTTGTGGAATCAACTCTTTACCAAGTTTTCAGGTGTCAGCATGGGTGCCCCTGCCCTGACAAGACATCAGGTCGTTCCAACTCCCCTCCACCATTCCTCTGTCTCTGGCTGTTTCCTCCTTTCAGCCTCTTGCCCAGCATATCACTGTTAGAAGGGATCGGTTATGACAGATGGCAAATCACAAATACTTCAGGCTATTGTGTCGGAGTTAAAGGTCATCCTTTATCTCCTTTGTTTACCTGCACAATAGCTTTATTTCATGTGGGGATCCCCAAGGAAGAACAGGCAGGTGTGTATATTCTGCAGGAGAAATTA